ATGAAAATAATTTCATATTATTTTTTTTCGATAAAAACATCAAAAAACGAACTTTGAAAAAAATAACAAGTTCACTCTTCAAAATTGCAATTATGTTGTTAAAAATAATTAAGTGCCACATTAGTGATGCTAAACACTTGTTTCTTGATGAGTCCCCATTGTTCAACTCAACAATATAAACGTTGAGTTGAGTAGATATGATGGTATCAATGGTGTTCTATTTTTATGAACTTTGTTCAAAAAACACATTTCGAAAAATATTAGACATTGTTATAAACTATTCAAACTATACCGAACTATACTTGCCAATAACAATAATTACATAATAACAAAAAAACAATTTATAAAAAATAATAATCTCAACAATATATAAAATTTCAAAGAATTTAATTTCGTGAAAAAGAACAAAAAATACATCAAGAACGGTTTAAAGCATCATTTGGAAGAAAAAAGTATAAAAAAGAATCAGTTTATAAAATCAAAGTGAAAAATGAAATTTCTTTGAGTAAAAATCTTTTTTTAAAAAAATAAATTCTATTTTAGGAAGTGTACGAGTATTTTCTGGTCGACTTTACTTATTTAATTTACACAAAATGTAACTCATTTTTTGATCCAAATGTTACTTTAAAACAGTTTTCAACAAAAGATCAAAATTTTAATTTAAAAATGCCGACTTTGAAGTTTATTAAATTAAAAAATAATAATTTCGATTTCAATCCAAAAAACACAATTCTTCGTATTATCCCATTTTTTCACCAATTTTTTTAATGTTATTTATTTGTTTTTGTTAATGTTTAAATTTTCGTCTTTATTTATTCATTTGTTTATGTTTTTTATCTTTCAATCATTTTTTTGAACTATAACAACAACTTTAATGAAATATTTTTAAATGTTATTTGTTAAAAAACAATCATTGAAATAATGTGCACAAAAAGACCACAAATTCAATCCGGCTTTTATTTTCAAGCTTGTCTATTGTGCTCGTCATTGATTTTTTTCACTTTTTTCACTTTTTGAGCTTTTTTTTGTCAAAAGAAAATACTTTTCGAAACAAATTTTGTAAAAAACAAAAGCTATATTTTAAGTTTATTTTAATTAAAATAAAAAACCATTTCAAATATTTTTTTCTTCTCGAGCAAAGTTGACTTTTTTCTCAAAAAACAAGAAAAAGACCCAATCAAACCCATTTTCCAATTTATAAAGGGTGGTACTTAAGTTTTTTCTATTTTGGCTTAAAGTTCAACCAAAGTTTCACAAAATTTACTCACTTACGTGGGTTTATATCACCACTGTACAATCAAAAAATATAATTATTTCCAAAAATAAATTAATTTAAAGACAAAAACTATTTAATAAGTAATTTTGTTATATATTAATTGTTTATAAAAAGTAATCATTTTTTTTTCGTTTTACCATTTATTTCAAACAAACAGAAATAGACAAAAGGTGCAAAATTGGTATGGTAAAAATATAGTTTTTAACTATAAATTTTATTAATAAATGATTTTCCTGGACCTTCCCACATTTTTATAAATTTAATTATTTTTTAAACAAACTTTCATTTTAAATTAAAACAAAAATTACCAAGAATAAAAAATGTAAAAATTTCCATTAATTTATGAAAATTGAACAGACTTGTAAGGGTTAAACGGATTTTGGGTTTTTTATATCAAATATCAGTCTGAAACACCCTTTCAGAGTTTTCCAAAGTAATCAAAAAAATAATAGCAGATTTAATTTATTTTTGGTTCTTTTAGCCTTC